TATATATATATATATATATAATTAAAATTTATTGTTGAAAAATAAAAATATAAATAGAATTTAAATATAAAATTTAATTAAAAATATAAAGATTAGAAAATATATATTTTAATAAAGAATATTTTCTTTTTCTTTTTTAATCTATCATAAATATCGTAAAAGAAGGGTTCTCTAAATCTATGCTACGTTATTGTCGACATCGATTATACCTCCTATGAAATGATCGAGTTCTCGCGCACTTTCTTCTCGACATTGTGTGTGTATATTCGCTCAGCTGTTCTGGTTAGAAGCAATCGCGGTTCATCTGATTGCACAAATTTTCGAAGCTTTGGAGTTTATTTTTAGTACCAGTGCCATGTCGTCTTGGTATGATCCTCGTGGATTTTTGCTGCGTAAGAGCATGTTACTTGCTCTTTGATTTGGTCTATACAAAAAAAGATTTTTTTGGTGATTGACAAATTTATTCGTCACTCACCATAGATATCAAAAATTTGACATTAATTTAGAATCGATGTACTCCGAAAATTGACGCTTAAGTTTAACGATAACAGTTAAGAAATAATAATGAAGAAGACACGTTCAAATATATTTCGTGACATTTATTATCAGCCATATAATGATTATACGAGAATGAAGCTTTATTCCAGCAGTAAAGGTATTTCGCATTATATTGTAAAATTAAAATTTAATAACATGTTATAAAATATAATATAAAATAAAAATCTATTTTTATTGTAATAATCATAATTAAAAAAAAATAATTATTAAAAATTAAATACTTTTATATTTATATAATAAAACTTGTAACTAATTATTATAGATTTTTTTTTAAATAGGAATAATTTTATATGCAAAATTGAATAAAAATAAATTCAAATATATTTTTTATCTATTTTAAAATTTTATTAAAATTAGTATTCATATATTCTAGCAAGTCTTCAAATGATGCAGCGTATGGCATTATTAAGAAGATTAAAAGTTCATAATGGTTGTGTAAATTCTGTTTGCTGGAATGCTACTGGAGAATTGATATTATCTGGTAGTGATGACCAACATCTTGTCCTTACAAATGCTTATAATTATGAGGTATGTATTTATTTTCATTAATCTCTATTTTTATGTATTTAATTAAATTAGAATCTTATATATCTGTGTCAAGTTTATGGAAGATTATAATTTTTATTATTTATATATTTCAATTAAAATATTCAAAGTTTAAATATAATAAAACAATTAATTTTTTTAAAAGAATATGTTTTTAATAATTTTTCTATAATATTTCAATAATATAAATTTAAGCTGTATATAATTATTATATTAAAATATTTTTATTTNTATATTTATTTTATTTATTTTATTAATATTTATCTTGTATTTATATATTTTTTATAATATTTATCTTTTGGTTATAAATGTTTAATTATTATTTATTAATAGAAAAAAATATATATTATTATATTTCATTTTTATAATTTTTATTGAGTTATATTATATTTGGTTTGATAATATTATTAAATTATTATATATTATTATAAATATATCACAAATAAAATTATTTTTGATATATTATATCAATATCTTTATAGAAATGTTTTTGTCATCATTTACAAAGTTTGTATATTTATATTTTTTTTTTTTACTTAAGATTGAATGACAGTAAGTTTGATTAAAAGGAAATATATTGAAGAAAGTTTCATTGGCAATAATCTTTTTTCAAGGAAATATCATTAGATTTAATTCTAGTCAAGGTCTAACATTGACATAGATAGAAATGTAGTAGCTTTGCCAAATGAACAAAAACCCTTGTATGTAATACATGTATGCTAATTTTATCATCTAGTACTAGAACTATTAATTTAATTATTAATTTAATAAGAAGTTTTATATATATTTAATGTTATAAAAAAATAAATAAAAATTATTTTTAAATAAAAATATTCTTAATAAAAAAAAATATTTTGTTAAAGAACCATCAATAATACTTTTGGTTTTCTTTTTTTACAGGTATTAACAGATTATAAAACCAGTCATAGAGCGAATATATTTAGTGCAAAGTTTCTGCCTAATAGTGGAGATCATCGGATAGTTTCTTGTAGTGGTGATGGTATTATTTTATATACAGGTGAAGATTTGATGATTTTTGATTAAATACAACGTGGTAAATGATTTATAATAATAAAATTTCCATTATAGATTTAATAAGAAGAACAAAAACATTTAATAATCAATTTAATTGTCATGTTGGTACTACATATGAAATAGCGACAATACCTGGTGAACCGCATAATTTTTTAAGTTGCGGAGAAGATGGAACTGTGAGATGGTTTGATCTTAGAATAAAGGATAAATGTAATGCCTCAAGATGTACAGAAGATGTATTAGTTTCATGCGAGAGAGCTATAACTGCTCTCTCTGTAAATCTTGCTTCACCCCATCAAATAGCAATAGGATGTTCTGATAGTACAGTTAGAATACTTGATAGAAGAACACTTGGAACACCCGCCACTGGTAATTAAAATAAAAATTCTATTTAGAAAATCTAAATAGAAAAACAAATAAAAAATTATTAAATAATTTCAGGATGGACAGATACACCTGGAGCAGTAAAACCTTTATGTACTTTCACTGTTCCTGAATTTGAAGGAAATTCTTATAGAATAACATCTTTAAATTATAGCCCTGATGGTCAGGATGTTCTTGTTAGTTATAGTAGTGATCATCTTTATTTGTTCAATGTAAAGGTACAAGATATATTTTCTTTTTAAAGAAATGCTATAAACGTATGCTATAATAAGTTACAGAATCGATCGTTTTATTTAGGACCAAGCTAGTGTACAGTTAAAGAAAGATATCGCAGTTAGAAAAGGAGAGGGTAAGAAGCAAAGATTACGTTCGCCATTACCAGTACGTAGATTAAGACTTAGAGGCGATTGGTCTGATACTGGTCCTGATGCTCGACCTGAGTGTGAGGGAGGTCGACGTAGCGGTACAGGTACTTGAAAATTAAATGTTTGTTATTTTTAATTTTATAAAACAAATACAATATGTATGTTTATTTTTGCATGTTTCAGAAATTGCTCAAGCCAGACCTGTTCTTCAAACATCGTTAATGCAAAGAATGACGGATGTTCTTAGTAGAATGTTAAATGATCCAGCTACTAGAGCTGCATTATGTGGCGGTGGTGAAGATAGTTTGGAAGGTGTAATTGATCATCAAGATAATACTCAAAATAGCAACGAAAATGTTACAGAATCTAATGAAGAAAGACGGGATAACGAGGTCGAAAGAATGGAAAGAACTCAAATTCAATCTAATCAAGGTATTAATTATATTTTAATTATATTTTACTTAAAGTTTTCTGATTTTTATTATATTTTTGAAATGATAATCAACAATTTATTATTATTTTAGAACATCAAATGGACAAATCTGAAAATCCAAGTACTAGTGGCATGCAAAATAATCCTGGAACAAGTCATTCCGTGGAAACAAAAGAAAAAACATCATCTAATGATACTATGCCTTCAAATCAAACGATGGAGGAATGTTCGCCGGTTGAACTCAAATCAAATATTCCTATGGAAATTGAATCTAGTCTTGTAGAAACTCAAAAGTATTCTACACAACCGTGTTCATCGCATACTTTGGATAAAACCAATGATATACCAGAAGATGATCAAAGTAGCAACGATGATTCTCCTTGTAGCAGTATGGAAAATAAACAGGAAGGACATATGATGGAAAATCTTCAAGATAGATTGACGAAAATGAGAGTTGGGTTTCTTGAAAAGTATGATATCTAAGAAAGAATAATATAAATGAGTTAAATTGGTACTTCGATCGAATATTTCTATTCGTTTACGTTTTACTTATAGACACGGCAGCGAACCTGCTGTAAGTTTAACTTATACGGATAAAAGTTCAACAAGTGCAACGATATCTCTTGGTGTAGCTGATGAAATGATTCGTGATGGTTATCACGCTGGTAGGTATATTATTATTTTTTAAATTATTTTATAATTATTTCGTCATTTTAATTTATTTTGAATATGAATTAGGACCATCTGGAACTAGTGGAACTTTCTCAGGCAAAAATCATGACAAACACATACGATATAATGATATACAAGAAAGTAAGTAAATACAGCATAAACAGATATATTTTTTAAAATATCAGAAATCACAGATATTATCTTTTTGACAGAGACTGATGAGAGCGCTTTTAGTGATAGCGATGATGAAGATATACAATCTGAAGAAAGGTATATTGCAAATATTTTAAATTCTATAATCAAAATGAATAAATTAAAATATTCGAATAAAAAAATTATAAATTTTTATTATATAGATTAGAAAGTTCAGCTGAAACTGAAATGGAAGAGGCTATTGGAGATGTTCGAACACGACGAGAATCGATGACTTTCGACAAAACTAGTGTAACAGAACTTCGTGTGAAGCAGAAATATATGGGGCATCGTAATGCTAGGTATATTCATTTTCATTTTTGTAACTTTAATTTGGTGGTCGCCAACGATTAACGCAATTCACGCGTAATAAATGATGGAACCTTGAGAAGGCTGTATATTGCGAGAATGTATATGATTAAATATTGTGACTAAAAGATTAACATAAAATTTGTTGTAATCGAAATTTCTTTAATTGGTTAAATGTTGAATGATAATCAACAATGATGATATAGTAAACAATATTAATGGAACTTTTTTAAAATACCAATTCTATTCGGCGAGTTTGGTTCCTTTATTTTCATGTACATAACGTTTTAACTTTTGTATTCAATGTGTCTGTACAATGATGTTTGATTTTCCCTCGGAAACCATAATTGTTGACTCGTTTTTAATTCCGAAAAAGCCTTCGAACGGTGTGGGTCATTTCTTATAAGGCCGCCATATCATCTCATCAGTTGGTCTTCCCCCGTTGACTCTAGTTTCTTTAGGACTATGATCAAAGAGGCAAACTTTTGGGGCAACGATTTCGTCATGTCGGGTAGTGATTGTGGCCATGTCTTCATATGGGAAAAAGATACGGCCAGATTGTGCATGTTATTGGAAGCCGACCAACATGTCGTTAACTGTTTACAACCACATCCGTACCTGCCATTACTGGCTACAGCCGGTATTGATTATGATGTTAAGCTTTGGGCACCAATAAATGAAGAATCCAGTTTTGATGAAAAGTTTGCTGAAGATGTAAGTTTTTATCTTGTTATTTATCATTAAATATTCAAGATAAAATATAAAAATATAATTTGTTGATATGCATTTTTATTTATAGTTGAAAAAGAGGAATGCAGTCATGTTGGAAGAGACGAAAGATACAATGACTGTGCCGGCTGTTTTTATGATTAGAATGCTGGCATGTCTCAATCAGATACGCAGAGGTAGTGAAAATTTATAATACTTTTCAAGATCTTCCGATAATACACTACATTAGTATGATCAACGTAATTAAGAATAATATACTGAAGAAATTCGGCCGCTTTTCCCCTTTAATGTGCAGGTATCGGAGTAAATAACGGTGTATAGAATTTTTCTGACTTCTTCCTTTTTTTCATATTGTGAACTTGTCCATAGATTTTTTTTAAATTTCACCATTCACCTTATATTCATTATACCTTTCTCTTTTTTTTTATATATTTTTTTTTAAGAAACTATATAAAGATATTTGTAGAGAAGTAACAGATATATATTTATATAAATTCTGTACTGTATAGAATTTGAAAAAAAGAAAAAAAATGAAAGAAGTAGTCAGAGGAGGACAGAAAGTACAAAATCATAGCTTATTATTTTTAAGTCTCAGAGGCTATTCAAATATAATGAAAAAAGAAAATAAAAAATATGAGATAAGAATCAATATAACGTAAATGATAATATTAAAAATAAGAAAAAGTTTTGTAATTTTTTATGCACATAAAAAATTTTCATATGTATACAAGAGAGAGAGAGAGAGTGAGAGAGGCAAAAATTAATTAAATTGACATGTTCATGTGTTGTCACATAGGTATTTTACGATTGCAAATTATTGTAGCAATGAAAATAAAGTTTTTAATCAAAATACAAAATATTTTTAATATATACCAGGATATGTGTGTTTTCAATATCGAGTGTTTTTTCTTTCTCTCTTTTTTTATCGTTATAAGTTTATCGCGAACGATAAATAATTAAATTCGTGTTTTTCTACTCTAGAATAAAATTTAAAACGGTATTAATTCTTTATATTGTAGCTAACGAACTAAGTCACGGTATGGACAGGTATTTGACGTAATATGCATATAAATACATATATTTGTCTTTTCAATATTAGATTAATATTAGCAAGCACGTAACATGTACTGAACGAAATTATGCAACATGATTGATTTTCATTTCTTTATTCGTTCATCAGTTAATCATCTAGATGATCTCATCTAAAATTTAATATCATCAAACCAATCAATAACGATCATTTTCTTTGATTAAAAAATAAATAAATAAATAAATAAAAAAATAAAAAAGAAAACAAAAAAGAATATATTTACAAAATATTATACTCTCTTGAATATTATACATGTTTAAATTTATTCAAATGTATGTATCAAATTTTTTAATTTATTTTTTCCAAAACAAGATCAGTTTTTCCTTTTATTAAGAAATTTCTTTTTTTTTGTATATTGTGCGGTACGCTTTATTTTAAAAATACTGNGTATATCTTTTCTTTTTCTTCACATGTGTAGAAAAACATTTGATAGCACGCCGTGTTTCAGTCATCCGTACGCGACAGCAAATAAAAGTAGTCTATCGTTAGATTACATTACACTGGTTAGAACAAGATATTACAGAATAATTCTGGTTCTTTTGTAGGACGCGGCCGGAACAGGAGGAGGAGCGGCGACGAGACCGGCGAATTACGAGGTGGTTAAGATGTTTCCGGCGATATTGCCGTCTGTGAAGACGGGATCTCAATTGAAGCAGTCCTTATCGCAACGTCGACTGATCATACTTCGAATTTG